GTGCAGCATGTCTAGCTAGCTTCGGCATTCCTGAATGACTCGAGCCCGCTTCTCCCACTCCTCCGAGCAGCCGGCCGGGATCAGACGTGTCCCGTGTTTCCCCCCCCCCTTCGGGAGGGCAGCCAGTTGTGGCTCCCCTGGTGGTCTCAGGGCCTCTGAACTCCTGTTCCAGCTGCGCTGTCTCACCCGGGTTCACGGGTGCCACTCTTCACTGTACTGCATGGAATTAACGTGTTAAGGCCGATGTCGGTGGCAGTGCCGTAATCAAAGCTGCGCACGGCGATGGAGCCATCGTTGTGTGGGGGAAACGCCCGCAAGTCACACAAAGCCTGAACGCTTCTGTGTGTTAATTCAGTTGTGCACAAGCGGCCCCTTTCATCAGATCCTTCCGCTGACCGCTGTGCTCAACACTGCCCTTCAGCAGTGGAGAGTTACTTACTAAGGATGACCCATTTAGGCGGCGTGGTGTTGCAATGGTCAGCATCCTGCCTCGCAGCGCTGGGGCCCTGGGTTCAGTTCCTGGGGTGCCACTGTCTGTGTGGAGTCTGCATGTTCTCCCCGTGTTCCCATGGGTTTCCCCCGGGTGCTCCAGTTTCCTCCCACAGTCCAAGAAACAAAACACGCGGGTGGGTTATTTGGCTTCTGGGAAAATCAGCCCCAGAGCAACTGTGTGTGTATGTGTGATGAACTGGTGTCCTGTCCAGGGTGTATCCTGCCTTGCGCCCATTGCTTGCTGGGATAGGCTCTGGCTCCCCCTCAGTCCTGGATTGCACAAAGCAAGCAGTTAGAAAATGGGTGGACAGCTACACCGTCTTGATAAGACCCACACGCATCTCCGTTCCACCTCATTCCAAAAACCTGCAAGCCTGACACCTCCGGCCTGCCCGCTGTCTGCCTGAAACAGCCCACTCACTCCCGCCTGGGGCTCGACAGGCCGCGTGCCGGACCAGCCTCTTCGGAGATGGGAGGAAGAGGCGTTGTGGGCTGGGCGCCCCAGAGCCCAGGAAGGGCCGTTCGGGCTGCGATACGATGACCCTGCTCGCGTGTCTCCGCGTCCGGTCGAATAATGAGAGGCGTTCTGAGCAGAGGTGCACTCTTGAAACGGGAAAAAATAAACTGAGCTGGATCAACCTCGTTCTGGGAAAGAAAGACGAGTAGAAGTTAAGTTTTTGCAGTCAGGGCAGACTAATCCGTGCTCAGTGTTTAAACACGCAGCCGACAGTATGCACTCTATGTGTTAGACATACTGTAGATATAGGACTGTTTTAAAACCCCTTATCGTTTTCTACCGAGGGGATTCGGCTGTCATCGGTGACTCTTGACGGCTGTCATTTTCCGCTGCTCCCGAGCTCTCTTCACACACAGCGACATTGCGAGAGGTCGGGCGTCATCTACAAGTCGGGATGTGCCGCTGAGCGCGTCCCCGAGGGCTTGTTGAGCGCATTCCTCGCACTCGGCGCCGGGACACGTGTTCCCGCACGGCGCGCCGCCGCGGGGAAACCCGACGAGACCGCGCCCGAGGCGCTGCAGCTGCGGGCTGGCGGAGAAGGGCGCTGCTACCTGTCTGGCGTCGCAGGAGCGGATAGCGCCGAGTTTCCGCATTGTCACTGGGGAAGTCGCGCCTTCTTCTATTAATAGCCCCAGGTTTAAAAACAACAACAACTTTAAGATGAAGAGTGACGATGTTCGCGGGTAATTCAAACACACAGCGACCCTCCAGCTCCAGCCCTTTAATAATAATAATTTCTCACACTTATATAGCGCTTTTCTGGACACTCCACTCAAAGCGCTTTACAGGTAATGGGGATCCCCTCCACCACCACCAATGTGCAGCATCCACCTGGATCCACCTTTGAGCTCTTAACAGATTACCTGCAGTTTTAAAAATCGCAGCTCACGACAGCCCACCCAAATTCCCAGTAAAACGCACTGGCAAGGCTCGGGAAAATTGCAGGTCCCCATTTCTCGACGTTTCCTGTCGCCGGGCGCTGTCGGCACTGGGTCCGAGATTTCCTAAACTCGCCCCAGCAGGCCCACCAACAAACACTGCCCCGTTCTGCGTGGGTTGAATTGGTCTTTTAGGAAGTGTTGTGCCGTTTTTCCCGCAGCGCACAAGCAATCATAACGAATCTCTCTCGAGTTGTTTTTTTTTTTTAATTCGCTTTACGCACGGTCGCATCTCTCGTTATAAGGCCCCGGCCTCGGCGGACAGGCCTCGCTGGTGCCTCATGCTGCTGGCCGGGGCTGTGAAGGGTATCTGCCGGAGGGGCTCTGCGGGTCCGGCCGAACCCGAGCGCGGGCGAGCGTCTGGCGTTAGAACTGTCCGGAATAAATAACGCCTCAGCGGGGCTTGAGTTTACACATCACCCCACCGTGACCCGGGCAGTGAAGCAATTTGCGAGAGACGTGAAAGAGGGGGAAGGTGGAGAACAGGAATGGAGAAGAGTGAGAGAAAAAAAAAGGCAGAAGTGACTTGTGATTTGCACAACAGCCAACGGGGTTAACCGTTTTGAGATACTTTCGTTTCCTGCGCCTGCGGTACTGCCGGAAAGAGAGAGAGAGAGAGTGAAGCGCAGCGCCCTGCTCCGGGCTCAGTCGTACCCGAACCCCCCGGCCACACGGACCACTGGCACCCCGTCTCCCGCCGCCCTCGCCATGTCGCTGCCCCGCCAGCTCCGAGACGAGAGGTAAGACGAAGGTCGCTCGCTCGCCCGCCCACCCGCGGCCGGCTGTGGCGTGGAATCCGGAAGCGAGTGTCAGTCCGCCCCCCCCTCGCGCAGGTGTGTCTGACGCCGGCAGGGCGCCGCGGGCCGAGACGTCCTCGACCAGAAACCCGCGGCAGGGAAAGCCCACAGTCATTCGCTTGTGGAGCCGAAACGCTGCCCTGTCTCTTGTTACAGTGGTGACAGATACAAACCAGCGGGACAGGCGATCCCAGCCGAGTCCTTAGGAACCCGGCTCGGAATGGGATCCAGGGGGCAGGGCTGCCTGCCCTGTAGGACCAGGAGGCGATATCAGTGGTGTAGTGTCAGGTGCCAGTGCCAGGTGTGTGTGCAACAGGGGTTAAAGAAGCAGTCCCCAGGTGTCCCCTGAAATTCGAAAGACACCGGTGAATTATTGATCAGTTTAGCAGGCAGTTGAGGTCATTAATGAATTGGCTTCATCACTCTGTCCTCCTCCCCACTGAGAGCTGATGTGTGGTGAGCGTTCTGGCGCACTATGGCTGCCGTCGCATCATCCAGGTGGGGCTGCACACTGGTGGTGGTGGAGGGGATCCCCATTATCTGAAAAAGGGCTTTGAATGGAGTGTCCGGAAAAGCGCTGTATAATTGTAAGCATTATTATAATTAATTAATGGACATCTGGCCCTTGGAGGGTTGAGTGGTGTTGAGAGTTTTATTTCAAAAGCTGTATCCTATAAGTTGCTTCATTTGATCAATCCACCTGCTCCATTGATTGCAGTCTTTAGAGATTGATGGTTTAGTGGAAGCTGAAACGGGTCCTGTTGGATGGCTCTCCTCAGGACCAGGGTAGGAGATGTGTTGTTCAGTGAGGCAGTGTGAGTGTGTCTGTAGGAGGTGTGTGTTGGGTTTGGATTGTCTCTGTGGTTAAGGAAACAGGTGATTGAGGATGATCCAGAAGATGAACTGGACTGGGGCTCTTCCAAGACCAAGGTCAGAGATCGCTGTTGTTGAGCCACATGCCATAGGGCGACGTGTCAGCAAGTGTGCCTCTCTCTTCCCAGTGATTTTGACCAGCTCCCAGACAACATTCCCATCTCGGCCACCGTTGCAGACGTTGAAGAACGGAAAGGCTTCACCCACTACTTTGTGAGTCTTACAGTTCCTTCGGTTTCACACCGATATCCTGTCACTGACGCACAGAAAGACCGACGCTTGTACTAAAACTCCAAGAGCACCCTTCCTGGTTGAGATCTCCAGGCTGTAGGGGCTCATCCTGGTCTGAGACCCTGGCTGTGATCTCCGGGCTGTAGGGGCTCATCCTGCACTGGGACCCTGG